AAAGGGTTGAGGGGAGCAAAGGACTTAAAGAAAAACAAACAACTCCCAAAGAGAAAGGGAAATCATCTATACAAAAATAGTACAGATGGGGACTTGGTGGCTCCAAGCCCTGATCAGAGAGGGCACCTGACAGGGTGCAGAGGGGCAGCTCCCAGGAGAAACCAACAGATGGAGGAGAGGCCACATTCCTGGGAGACAGGAAGGGAAGGAGAAGAGGAAATAAGAGGAAAGAACTAAGGATCCTGCAGAGACACCAGCTTTCCCTCTTCTCGCTGCCCTACTAACATGACCTATAGGCACAGTCTACCCTAAAAGAACGTGGAAGTTGAAGAAAATTGTAACACAACACTCAATTTTAACTAAATATTCTCCAACGTGCATCTGGGAATATGGGAAATGCACTGAGTTAGAAATAAAAATTAGGTAGAGAGATCAACAGTGACGAACAATAAAACAGGAAGAAATAAAATGAGAGGCGATGAGCTCAGGAAAAGCATTCAGAGAAAAAGCATAAAACCAAATAAGCAATAAAGGACAGAGTGCAAGGTGCCCCAAGGAGAATCTGTTCAAATAAACATTTCATGAAGGGTCCTGATTAAAATAGAAAAAAAAAAAACAACTCAAAAGAACAAAAATCAGATAAAGAAAATAATAAGGGACAGGAAGAGGGTGAAAGAGAAGCTAGGCAGAGGAGGCCAAATATTCATATCACTGGTGTCCCTAGAGAAGAAAATGAATGGGAGACAATATTTAAAACTTGAATTCCAAGAAGTAAAATAATTGAAAGGGCCCAAGGCTGGTAACCTAGGACTGACCTCAATAGTGAACTCCAAAACCTAGCTTGTAAAATTATTAGACTTTAGAGATAAAGAAAAAAAAAGCATTCCGCAGTCTCTAGAGCCAAAAGGAGAAAAATAAAAACAAAAACAAAGAAGATCATTTAGAAAAAGACAGTTAGGCAAGTTAAATTGGCCAATTAATTTGGCCTCAGATTTCTCAAAACTAACATGCAAAGCAAGACATAGTGGTGTGCCATGCTCAAGGAACCTAAGGAAAAGCAAACTGTCCTTCAAGTTTTAAGATCCTGGAACATGAATTGTTTTTTTTTTT